CTCGGCCACCAATGCTGCCGCTACTACCACTTACCATAGATTCAAAGAAGCCCCACAATTTTATAACTCTCCGAGCTGCCCCTCCCTTGACAGTAGTGGCGCCAACGATATGTGCTCCGATGAAGCTGTTCATGTGGCAATGACCCTAGACGCGGCCTACTTACGTGGTTCAATGGCTGCCATTCTCTCCGTCCTTCAGCACTCTTCCTGCCCTCAAAACATCCTCTTCCACTTCATTGCCTCCTCCACGGCCAACCACCACCACCTCCGTCACACAATCTCCCACTCCTTCCCTTCCCTTAAATTCCAAATCTACCCTTACGACTCCTCTGCCGTCTCAGGCCTCATTTCCACCTCCATCCGCTCGGCACTGGACTGCCCTCTCAACTACGCCCGCAACTACCTCGCCAACATCCTCCCTCCATGTCTCCACCACGTCGTTTACTTAGACTCCGACCTCGTTCTCGTCGATGACATTGCTAAACTCGCCGCAACTCCACTTGGAGACAACTCGGTTTTAGCTGCACCCGAGTACTGCAACGCCAACTTCACTTTCTACTTCACCCCAACCTTCTGGTCCAACCCTACATTGTCTTTAACATTTGCTGGACGCAAAGCTTGTTATTTTAACACCGGGGTTATGGTGATAGACTTGCAAAGATGGCGTGAAGGAGATTACACTACAAAGATAATTGAATGGATGGAGCTTCAAAAGAGAATGAGGATCTATGAGTTGGGGTCTTTGCCACCGTTTTTGCTTGTCTTTGCAGGGAACATAGCGCCTGTTGATCACAGATGGAACCAACATGGGCTCGGAGGGGATAATTATAGAGGATTATGTAGGGATTTGCATCCTGGTCCTGTTAGTTTGTTGCATTGGAGTGGGAAAGGAAAGCCTTGGGTGAGACTAGATGCCAACCGGCCTTGCCCTTTGGATGCTTTATGGGCTCCTTATGATCTACTGCAAACACCCTTTGCTTTGGAGTCTTAGAATTTTGGTTTAAGTTCTACAATAAATCCTTTTTTTTTTGCTGGGTCCTTTTCCCTTTCTGGGCTGAGATTTTTAGCTTCAATGATGCCATAGAACTTAGGAGAACAGAGATCTGAGTGTTAAAATTAAGATCTCTCTGGCAGATGATCAAGAGAAGGGTGGGAGGAGGTGTTCATAGACTATACAGCAGAGAGCATTAACAATCTTACAATCTTTTTTTTTTTTCCTTGTTTGATCTATGTATCTGAGTACAGTATATATACACATATATATGTATGTATATATATATCACAGTTACGGCTACTAATCAAGAGAAAGAAGATAAAAAAATTTCCATGTTCGTCGTTTTCTTTTCCTTTCTTTTTCCCTCTTAGTTGCTTGATTTTATTGCATCTACCATCTTTCTCCGATAATAACTTGCAAAAATCCCGGGCATTGATTGTGAAATTTTGAAAACTAGTTGATGTTGGTGCCATGTCTGGTCTAATGGACTGCACCTTGTTTTACTGCACAATTTAAGACACTTTTGAATTTCATACACGTGCAGTAAATGATTTTCCATTTGTTTACCTACTTGCCCATGATCACTGTAGTTTGTTTTCTTTCTCCATTTGAAGAGGAAAGCTTTATCATGGGATACTTTTACAATAGCCATAACTAGCTTCAATTCATTTACTATGTCACTTTAGCATTTTTTATTTTTTTAATTTTTCTGGTGTGTGTGTGTGTGCGAGCTTTCTCTCCTTTTCTTTTGGTGTCCATTGTCTTGCCAAAGCCAAACATTTACCTTTCATACTTTGACGAAAATGATGATGATTGATGGGTTATAGCTTATGTTCAAGACTGCCTCAAAAACAAAATACTTGGTAGCATTTTCCCATGATGATTAGCCGAAGCAAAGGGCTTCATTACATATTACAAGCCATATTCCTTGCCGAGTTCATATACCTAAATTTCTATTCACACCGCAAATTAAGCTGATATTGTAGGGGAAAAAAATTATGGGGTCCCAACAGACATATAATCAAACCCTTTGGTTGTTTGTTTTTTTTTCTTTATATTTCCATTTGCCTTTCATCACATGGCCTAGGTTTTCAGAAAAAGGCACTAAATTATGTTGATACAAAAATTTGAGATTGAAGGTGAAATGGAAGATTTGGTGACCAAATTACTTAGCAAGAATGAGTTTGGAGCGGCACTTAAGACTTTTTCAATGACATGAAATCAGTAGGATCCTTTGACAGCTAATTGTTGTTAAACATATACTTAATCATTAGGTACACTCCAGCCTTTCAAAAAAAAAAAAATCATTAGGTACACTCCATTAATTTTGTTTATCTTTTGTTAAGCAAAACTCACTATAAAATAAAGGTTTTATTTTGAGATTTTCAATAGATTTCAACAAAATTTCATGTGAAAAAAATACTCTCTTTTTTTTTTTCAGTGATTTCGAAAAATCTTTTATAGCATAATATTAATATAATTCTGCCTCAATTAGAGAATGGGAAATAAACAAGTGAGGCAAATCTTTCACCAACCACCGTATATGCAAAAATGGCAACACTTTGACTAAACAATAATCTCTCTAATTCCAAACTCGTTTTCAGGTCCTCCAGAAGCTATAGTCCACCCCAAAATAAGTCAAAAAATGTACACAAAACTCTGTTTTACATAAGTACTCTATTTGATGGTACGAAAGAAGTATAATCCAATTGACTTCTTTAAAAGGAAAAGCGTTGAGCTTTTGAGTTTTTTGACCTAACCTTACAGGTTAGAAGCCATTAATTAGGTAGAGTAATATTTTTTTCCCATAAAAAACTCAAGTGGTTGTGGAATTTCTCTCCCATTTTATCTGGTTTTTTGCACTACTTGTGGGTTTTTGGTTGGCAAATGATTTGTTCTTTTCCCTCAAAGCTTAAAAATCTATGTTCTGCATTCAATCTCTGACCAGTCCCAGTACCCACCCAGCGATGCCTGAGTTGAAAGATTTCTATTGACGTGACAAAGAACTAAATTGATAGGCCTGATTTGGCCATTTTTAAGAAATTATTTATGGTAATAAAAGAAAATTTACTTTAATTAATGTCATAAATAAAATCTTAAATAAATCAGAACAGTAAACGCGTTATCTTCTTGTCATGTTGATATTATTTTGACTTTAATATGAATAAAATAAGGATTTTTTTAATGATTTTCCTGTTTTAGCAGCTGGAGGCTTTGCTCCTGTCTGATTCCCATTTCCCTCTCTCTTTGTTTCTATAATCCTTTTCCGAAGGGGAGTTTTCCTATCTTCCAAACCAGGGACCAGTCTTTGGAGCTTCAAGCCATGGAAGTTACAGACTTGTAGCCCTGGAAACATGGCTAACTGCCTTGTGTTACCGACCAAATAAAACACAGACTACAAAGCTAAGTGAAGAATTAAGTTTCTGACAGTCTAATTACTATGGCCTGCCTATCGATCTCTCTGCATATGGGTTTCAGAGGTCAACTCTTCGGGATTTATAAACTTGATCAGTTACAGATTCAACAGTCAACTTATCAAGCTGTTAGCTGTATATGTAACAAGATCTAACATAGGAAATATGAACAAGGTGAAGGAAGGGATTATACAATTATATCTGAAATGTGAATTTATTTTAATCTAATCATTGCTAGGCTGACTTGGTTTTGGTCTTTGGTGGTAACATGGAACAGACTGACATGAACTAATTAACCAACTAAAAAGTTTGGAAGAGGGGAAGGCAAGGCAAAGACCAATGGCTAACATGCCAAAATTAGCCATTATGAATTGAAGGAAGCAAATCTTCAAAGCTGTTACAATTGTGATTCCATTTTTTTCCAGTGAAATTGTTATGTACATTATTTGAATATTTATGAAATTGCAATCCTGTCTGATTGACAGGTTCGTGCTTCCATGTGAGAAGGAATGAAGGAATCAGAGAGGGGGCCCGGGCTAAAGCAGAACCTTGACAACTCATTAAAGCATAATGAACTAAATCACCAATGATCTAAGGGCTTAAGTTTAACCAATTGGTCACCTCATGTTGAAGATTACAACACATGTGATATGTTGGTGTGGCTTCCCGTGATGGATTTCAGACTCAGTCTTTGCAAGTTTGTATCAGTTTCGATCTCTTTTATGAAGAGAGGAGATCAATGGCAATCTAATATGTGCTAGACTGTAGATTTTAATACTCGTTTAAGAATTGTTTGATGTTGATGTTCAGCTCCTCATTGGGTATTAGTGGATAAAACATGCTTAAATAGAATTGGTTACAGGATTTGATATTGATTTTTTTCTTGTTTTTAATGTTGTTGCTTTAGTCTTATATATATATATATATTTAGTAATTAGGAGCAATAGAAATTACTACTTTTTTTTCTTTGTTCAGCTGTTCTTTCTAAATGTTCCAAAATTATGGCTTCTTTCTATTTTTTAATACCTATTTTTCTAACTTTTTTATATTTTAAAATTCTTTTATGACTTTTTTTTATTTTTCGGCATTAAAAATTATGCTATATCAAATTTGAAAAATATTAAAATTTTAATATAAAATAAACTTAAAAAAGAATTCCATGAAAATTAAATTAGAACAAACAAAATGAGAGGGAAGAGTAATATATATTTAATAATTTTTAATATCTTACAAAAAATAGACTAATTTCTATGGCTTAAGTCCTTTCTATATAGCCCAAGAAAAAATATGGGCAGCTCACAGCCATCCAAATAAGGCCCTTTTGATGGCCCAAATCTTGGTTTCCATGCTCTTTCTTGGGTACCCAAAATGATTCAAAAAAAAAAAGCATAATTGAAAAAGAGATTTGTATGAATATTTCATCATGTGCAAATGTGCCTTAACATATATTCAAACATCCTAAAACAAAATCACCTTTGAAAACCTTAAAATTTGTTGATGGATCAAAAACCAGATATCCATGAATAATTAGCTTTAACTATATGTCCAATTGACTATATAGAAGACAAAAAAGAAGTCTTGCATGGCCAGTTCTTGAATTATAGCAGATTAACTGATAAAAGATGACAACATTAAGGTTGTTAATTGACTAATCAAAAACACCACCAAAAAAAAAAATTTCAGGTTGATGATTGAAACATGTCCTCCTACAGAAGCGTGAGCTTATAGTAGTACTATATACTAGCAAGGTACGTAGGGGAAGTTCTACTCCAAAGATTTGGTCATTCAGATGATTATTGCAATGTACAATCATGGCACAACTTCTTTACTTGCTTCCATGTAGTCTCCATAGTCTTCTCCATCGCTGTTATCTGTCTTTCTGAAATATTTGTAATAAACGTACTGCAATATGATCTGTTTATGCAGAATGTTAAGGTTCAATGGCAGTGTAAGCAAGCTGTAACTGTTGGGATGATTGAATTGTCAGGGAAAAATGTTATGTTTATGTGAGAAAAATAAGCAAAGGATACAAATAAGTCGAGTGCCACACAAACTGCAGCATCCAGCAACCAGGGCATATTAGCCTCAATGCTTTCCCATTCAGTGGTCCTCACTAGAATGCTGTGAAGACGTTCAAAAGAAAACACTGAGACAAGTGAATTGTTGCAGAATGAAGTAAAATATAAATAGACAAGTTTAAAGCAGAGCTAACCTTGCCACATAAGTAGCGTTAGCTATCAGCGCAAAGATGAACATGAGAGGATTCAAGCCCTACGAAATTTCCAGATATCCGGTGAATCAACCAAGATGTTTTTAAAAGCAATAAAAATATATGGTTAAGAGTATTACCTCTACACACCCTCTTTTGATCTGATAAAAAAAAAATGCAATGATTTGATAAGGAACCGGAAGATTTGATAAGAGGGAAATGTTTGCAGATTTTGTAATAGTTACTACTTAATTTAGCTCAATGCTTCCTTACATTTAACCATATCTGAGGGATTCGGCCTCCCATGTATATGGCAGCCATTAGCCATCCCAGCCATTGACCAAAGGCGCTGTGCTCCACACTGTGTTCCTGCGACAGAGACTAATGATTAGAGGTAATTTACAGGGGCCAATTTCTGTTGAATATGAGTTAGAATTAACTAGGAAGGATACCTGTAATAGTCTTCTACTAGTAAAACCTGTGCGTGCTTCCATCCACGCCTTACTTCCTAGGGGTAAGTTGACAGAGGCAGCTAGAAATGTACCATAGCTTGCAGCCTGAAAGATGAATGCTGCCATCACCCATATGAGAAAGCCGAAACTAAAATAAATCACAGAAAAATGAAATTTAAACTATTAAACATATCAATGTTATTCAACCAGTCTTTCAAGAGAAAAAGTGAAAACGTTGCAGCATGTTAACGTTTTTGAATCATCAAATATGTGGGCACGAAATCGAAGGATAAGATAGTTCTCTCGTTTCAGCTAGCTACAAAGTCATTTAGCAAGTTGAAGACTCACGGCTCTTGGGATTAGCCTCGGTTGGGTACCAGACTTTTTCAATGAAACTGGAGCTACTTCATCTTCTGATGACGAATCGCTGTCAAGTTCCATAGCCGAAGGACCACTCTTAGCTACCCTCATATATGTTCGAAAAGGTGAAGTGTCACTGCCAGCCAGAGATCTAGCTGACCTGAAACAATGGAATGTCTCAGAGGAATTAGCTTTCCTCAATACAAGACTTACGAAATAAATCTTCAACAGAAAAAAAAATGTAAGAAGAAAGTGTAGTACGTGTAGTAAAACTCCCTGCGAGGATTGGCTTTTGGTGAGGGCTTTGGTATGGGAATGCCTGAATCAGCTTTTCCAGGCTTCAAGGGTTTTTTCTCATCTTCAACCTAACATTACACAACCATATTCGTGAAACCATGTTTCTCAGAAACAAAATTGGTGGTCTGCAATAAAATCATGCAAAGACCAGAACGTGTTAGGAAAGCAAGATGTATACCATGTTGTCAGTTTTGATCCGTCTACATTTACACCAGCTGTAGGCGTAATCATAGTATATGGTCTGCAATACTAGAACCAAAGTACTTGTTGTATAGAGCTGACAATGAAAACCAGTCAATTAGCTAATAATCATTGTTGTAGATTAACATGAAATAAAAAATATGTGAGACAATTTTACAAAATTAGCCAAGTTGGTAAGTGGATATACTTCTCATCTTTGTTGGTTTCTTTCTAAATCTCTAAACTTATCTTCATGAATCGATTGAAGGGTCAATAGGTATTGGCTGTTGGCTAGCAATAGGCAAACATGCTTGGGTCTTTCATTTTTACGTGGAAATGGGCTAAGGTTTGATGAAAGGCCCAATCCAATGCAACCCAAGGTATGGCTATGCACTGAGTGGGGCTCAGGAGAACTTGACCAATAAACCCATGCTGTTGAGTTGGGCCATTTGACTTTGACCCAAATAGAGGAAAGGCTCATTTATGAAATGAAACATGTAAACCTAGACAGCGGCGTCAGTAGTATACCAGAGCTGTGTAGAACTGAGTCGGCAACTGCATCCACAAAATTTAAAAATGCAAAATTACCGATCGGGACTGATGAATATAAATTTTTCTGAAACTATGGCAGTGGACAAGTTGAAGAGAGCATCTTTGTTGATAAAAACAAAGGGTAGTTATAGCCAGAGCCAACCAAAATTTTCCTCTTGGCTTCAGGTTTTTGGACCACCAAAGGCACACTAATTAAATTTACCAAAGCCTGAAAAAGAAAAAACTCACCGTTGCAGGTTCCAGAAGACATCCAACAAGATTGAACACGTCACTGCAACAAATTAAAAGAAGAAGAATAATCACAAAACATAAATAAAAAAACAGGAATCGAACATTCTTTGGGTCATTAAGAAATGAGGGTGATGGTTTTGTGGTTTTGGGGGAGAAGAAATCGAACCCAGCAACCCAAGTAAGGAGAAAAAGAAGGGAGACTCCATGGCTGGACTTGGTTTTGAAGTTGGTGATGATTTGAGGGATCTCTGCAACTCCCCAGCAGACTAGGCTAACTAGCCCAAAAGCGAAAGAGAAATCATCCTTTAGATTGCAAAGACAGTCTTTGAAGTATCTCTCAACCCATCGAACGCAGGGCTTGTTTTCCTTCACACAATAAGCGTGAGACATGGCCAACTCTCTCTTTTTTCGTCCTCCCACAAAAAGAGTGCTCCACTGTTTTAAGTTGGTCTGTTTTGTGGAAAAAGAAAAGTTACCCTTTATATATATATATATATCTATAGAAATATAAGATAAAAGGGTCCAAAAGTAGGTTTTATGATTAAACAAAAGATCTTATTGTCTACTATAAGACTAGGTATCTTACATTGTTGTCGTTTTTGGTGTCAATTGTGATAGCACCTTCAAAGTTTAGATGGCCTCTCGTACGCATATTCTTACCCAGGATGCTTCACATTCGTTTCAACTCACAAGTGAAAAACCACAGCATCATTTCTTTGCATGAATTTTATGGACGCATATTCCTCTCACGACCCTATGTACGTAAAACCTTAGCAGACGGTCCCAATTCATCACAAAATTACAACAGGAAGGAGAAAATGAGAACGATTGGTGTCAGAATGTGATGACAGTTTTATGTCATTGGAAGTTTTGTAATTTCCCTACATGCCTCTTGTTGCCTCTGTTTTTCACAATAAATATATGGTGAGATCCAGAGAGCATTGACTGATATGGTTTGGACCCTTAGTCAGCAATCTGTTTTAATGAAGATCGTATTGTGAGGCTTTGATCACTCAATCAAATTAAAACAATGTTTGCTTTTAAAATAAGATATGGTCTGATATGATTACAATTCTAGTGAGAGATAATCCATGGCCACTTGACAATTCTTTTATCAAATTCTTTGACTTTGCCCTCAATTTCCATCCACATTGAACCGATTCATACTTAGCAATATCTAGCTGACAACATTCAAGTTTCTGGGTTGGTTCACCTTTTGCAAATTTGTGCTCCACTATGCTTTATATCGTCAATAATCTTCTATCATTTAAACACTAAGTCACACTATCCAAGTTAAGACGTAAAAGGTAATCCCATATGTATTTTAAAAACCTAAAAAAAAAAAGAAATTAAGTTAATTGTGAAAAGTAAATTTTTTTCTTATTATTAGTATGAGAAATCAATAATGATTATTTTAATTTTTTTAAAATGATCATTCTATGATCTAATCAAGAGAAAAAGGGGAATGGCTTCAAAAATTGGAATTTAAAAATGTAAACCATTACCAATCATTCTTATCAATGATGTGAACATTAATTCTTTAATATGGTAATTAAATACTAGTAATAGTACTATATAAATCTGGTCTGGTAATGAATAAACCTAGCTTTCTATAATAGGAAATAAAAGCTAAATGATACATTTTAAGAAATCATAACGAGCAAAACACTGGATCGTTATCACCCACATGTCAACAGAAGATCAATCCGCCTATTGCAGGGGTATTTTGTACGGACTCATCTCTCTTCTCTGCATGCATAGCCTCATGAACCGAACCCATTATTCTGGCCACGTTCAATGCTGCAAAGCTGACAAGACAACTTTTGATTTACTTCATTCACTTACTGGAACAGGGTCCTGAAAATCATCCAGGTTCATTCTCAGAAAAAACAAATCTAAGGAAACACAGCAAATGTTGACAGTCCAGCTGAGAAATGAGGTTCTGTTAACCATGGCGCAGGGGCAGAACTGCTAATAGGCAAAGTCGAGTTTGCCACTTCAAAATTTTCACAGGAACAGGAGATGACGTGTCAGCTAGAACTGGGATCTTCGTTCTGATCTCTAATAAAGCGAAAAACAACAAACATCTTAATCCTAAACAAAGATGGAAAACGACAGCAACGGCGACGGTCCGCTGCAACTTGTCTGACGAAAATTAAGGGAATTACACGTAGCCTAATGTTTTCCTTGTTCGCCAGAAGCATCATGTCTATCCTGGCCCTGGGTTCGATAAGGTTTTCAATTCTATCTGCGACTTCCTTTTCGCCGCAAGGGCGACTTTGGTTTCCGTTGGGGCTTTTCTTCCTAGCTTTATACTAGAAAAGGACTGGCAGGGTCTTTGTCGATTTCCACTACAAAAATTCGACAAGAATTTGGAGGTATATTGAAAAGTCCATAAGATTGTACATTAAACTACTGTGGCTTATTCCCACTTTGCAAATTATATGAACCCAAAAATTTCTGTCGAATAAAATTATATATTTTTTGTAAAGGTTTATTTCGTAAGTAAATGATGTCTTTTTATTATTATTTTTATATATTAAGAATGAAAACAAAACAATTTACATCATTTTAGGTCAAACTATTTTTGGACATTATGCAAAACAACATGTAATAATGCTATTTGGGAAAAGATCAAAAACATGTAAACTTAAAATTATCATGATGTTTAGCAATTCAATTAATACATTAATTGACTTTACGATGAACATGAAAAAACAAATAATCTCACAAAATAGCATTCCAATGATTATCAAAAAATAAGCATTTGGATCTAATACAATTATATCATCAATTTAAACAAATAATCTAACTTAACCAAAATATATATGTTAAACTGCATTTCTTATTACAAAATGAGTTTTTCTTTTTTGGAAAAGCTTATTACAGAATGAGTTAATCTCGCAGCACTGTTCCACAATCAATTCCTTCCTATCCACGTCCCTTTCACCAAAGAATATCATTACCATACGATATTTGATGTTATCTTCTTCAATTCAATGAATTTCCTCCTTCCCGGCCGACTGTTGCTGGAAAGTTCTATTTCCATTGTATGTATTATAAGTACTCTGGTTGTCCAATTTTGACCTCATGGTTATGCCCCCTAATTGATATTTGCTATGAATATGTATGTAGACACGCCCTTTTTCTTTGTAGCACTAAAACATTCTGTCTTTGGTTACTTTTTTTTTCCCTTTAGAGTAAAGATTAACTACATTAATTTCATTCGCATTCGAATTGTCTTTTGGCTTAAAAAAACAAAAAAACATCAAGATGGGAGGAGGGTAGGCAGGCAATCTCCTTGGCAAGTGGCACCGCATGAGAATATGTATAAAATAATGACTTTTCATTTACGTCAATGTCTGCTTCTTATCTACTCCATCAATACTTGTGTCTACCTCTCTTCCATCTTATGATTATATTAGTCAGTACGATGGTGGCCTCTTCTTTTTTGGGTTCTTTTTCGTTCTTAATAAGGGTTGTTGGCAGCATTGAGCATTCCATGCACATTCAGCCACAAGTTTTTCACATTCATTCGAAGAAACAGCAGGCTTCAATTGTGATTTATTCTGCCTTTAGCTTTCAGCTTCATGTCCTTTCTGGGAGGGCTTGATGGCCTGATAGCTATCAAGTTATTAAGCCCAATAGTTCGCATAAAAACGAAAGGGTGCTATGCTTCACAGAACAGTGGGCAGCCCACTTTATTTGGACGAGCCGAGAAGAACGATTCCAAATTTATTTCCTCGAGTTGGTCAGGTAGCTTTGCGACTTCAAGATGTTGAACAACTCTTTCACAGGCAAAATTATCTTGTTCTTGAGGTAGATTTCGATTGAAGGTATTATATGTTTCAATCATATCAGATAAGTAAAAAAATTTTATAAAATTTATGAATATAATTATTTTTTAAAATAATAATTTCGTAATAAAATAATATTAAAATGAATTTAATTTAAAATCTACTTACATGAAGAACTTTCAGAATGAAGGTAGGCAAAATGATTAACGGAGATAAAATATCATCCGGATTCAATAGGGGAGAAGTCACACTAGACATTTAAGAAGAAAAACAAATAAGATATTTTAATTTGGTATTGGACAGGTAGGAAAAGTTTCAAAATTTATAAATATGAGTCCCGCACACCTAATCGATTAATTTTTTAGAAAAAAAATATAATGACCTTGTTACATATATATATTTAAACATTTTTTACCAAGTATAATTAAACAAAGAGAGAAATGTATATTTGGACTTGATATTAATTAATTAAGTACGCTTATTTTTATGTTCAATATTCATAAATTTTATATGTAATATATATAATGCATTAATTTAATACATAAATAATAACAAAGTCAATTTCTTGTTAGATCTTTAAAGATGCCAACTGGCCCATGAATACCTTTTGCTGATATTAATGCCGCACAATTAAATCCAAGTTTCCATCTATAACAGCGGTCACCCAATGGAGGCTGCTTAGGCTTTATTTTATTTTAATGCATTAAAAAAGAAAGAAAAAAACAAAAAAAAAAAGAAATCTAATAACAGATAAGTGTGGCATAAAAATATACACTTAATTAAACAAAATAATATATATTTGATAAAAGCACATATGAATTATTAAATAAAAAGAATATGAATTAATTATTAGTTTCATGTTAATAAAAATAAATAAATAAAATTAATGCTATTTAATTATAATATAAATGTTAAAATTTATTTTATTTTATTTTTAGACAACGTAATATGTTTATATGTTTATTTAAATAGATTAATAGATAATTCATTTCATACTACTATTTTTATAATGTCAAGAAAGACAAAAATGAAAGTGGAGAATGTGTAACACAAAAATAATATATATAAATCTTATGATATATTGAAATCATATTCATATGTATCTTTTTTAGATAGAAGATTAGAAACCAACTCTTTGATAGGGAAACATATACACTTATCATTAAACAAAATAATTAAGTATTAATTTCATTTTATAAGCTATATCTAAAAATACATTATTGGTTATATCAACAATATTATGATTTAAACAAAAAAAATAATTAATATTAATTACTACTTAAATAATATTATGAATCATTTTATGGTATATTGATGTTCACATATATACTAAGATATGTAAAAGAATATAAATATTTTAAAAACTTACAAATTATTGAAATAAAAGAATAATTTTTTGGGAGGAAAAAAAATTAACGTTAGGTCAATTAGAAATTTAAATGTTTAATGTATTCAAAGAAAATATATGTGTATTTATTATTGAATTAAATATTAAAATATATAACATTTTAAAATTTAGGAGTGCGCGTATATTTCGTGTTAGGCAATGGTTGGTTTTCCTTTTCCAATATCTAACATAACGAATTGGGTCTAGGCAAGAATGCACTAACTTACCTAAATTTGTTAGGCAAACTTGTCTTCGTCAATTAAGTGAAATCATATCATTTAACATCCAATTCTACCTAAACTCTATCCTTTCAGGAAGGAAACTCTTCAACTCACTCTTACAATAAAGTGCGGTTCAAGTTTTATGAATGACTATATTATAACTTGGTTATCAATATCTCTCTCTTGTTCTAAAAGCAAATATCATATCATTTTGATAACTAACGAAAATGACCAATTAAACCAAATAATTAAGTGAATTGGACATTTTTTTTTTCATTCCAAAATATTAATGGAAGGAAAATAATTAAATCGATAAGGGATGATTATTTGAGAGCGCAAGGCGTTTAATTAATGTGCATGTGGAAGAACTTTATTTGCACAATATATAAAGAGATTTGGCTTTTAACTGATAAGGACAGTGGCCAATCAATTTTGGGTTCCTTTAGGAAGCTGCCATGCACTTTCCTAAAGAGAAAAAAAAGAAGAATGATACGTTCATATTAATATTTTTCATCTTCCAAGGTTCTCTGCAATTTCTCTGAAGCTAGCATTCTATGATATCATCATGGAAAAAATATATTTTAGAGATTTTTCCTCCTTTATTTAACCTGTTGAACTCTTGCTAATTTCCCTGCAACTAGGCTAGATTCCCATCTTCAACATGGCGACTGCTAAAGTTTCCAAGGCTTCCAAGTGGTTCTCTAACAAGTCTCTTAGGTTAACCCTTCACCGCCGCCGGTCCAAGTCTAGCTCAACCTCGAGCTCCCTTGGATCATTCCCAACGTCACATGAGGGAGACGAGATGAAGGAAGTGTTTCGTTATTTTGATAGTGATGGGGATGGAAAAATCTCTGCCCTGGAACTTAGGGCTTACTTTGGATCCATTGGAGAGTACATGTCACACGAGGATGCTCAAGGGGTGATCAATGATCTAGACTCGGACGGCGACAGCATGTTAGACTATCAAGATTTCTTGAAGCTGGTGAAAAGAGAACCCCGCGATGGCGATGACGATCTGAAGAAGGCCTTCGAGATGTATGAATTGGAGAAAGGATCGGGATGCATCACTCCCAAAGGGTTGCAAAGGATGTTGAGTCGCCTTGGGGATGCAAGATCTTATGATGAGTGTGTTGCCATGATTCAGGTATATGATATTGATGGTAATGGGGTGCTTGATTTTCACGAGTTTCACCAAATGATGGCTTAAGCTTAATTTGATACTGTCTAATTTGTGAACTATGTTAATAATACCAGTACCTGTACTAAGAGATGTATGATTTTTTTTTGGTAAAATGGTAGGACACTCAAATAATATGACACTAATAAATCACGAAAATGAATTAATATTCATTTGTAAAATTGGACACATCGTATCATTTTGTAAAAGAAAAATGGTTCCGTCTCTGTGCATATGTACCACTATTATTAGTTTTCCAAGGACAGGACGTACATGAATGCACAGATTCTGTGCCTTTTTGTGTTTTTTTTTGCTCCCTTTGACCAAAAGCAAATTTGTTGTTAATTACCAGCAAAGCAAGGGTTTAGCCTAAACATGTAGCAATTGTTATAATTAATCGTTAATTACCTTCTTTACGTTTCGTGGAAATAAAGCATATATAGCTTGGATTTGTAGAATAGCCTTGATAATTATTCTCCACTACTCTTTGTTCTTAGACAAGGTGAGGTTGCCAACTAAGTTGCACTTGTATGATCATGAGAAACAGCACATTCTCTCGTCTTTGAACTCTAAAAGAGCCTCATCATGCCATCTGTAAAAACCCTTAAAGCCGAAGCAAACAAGTTTGGCATAAATTAATTTTTGGAGAAAGCAAGGCAAAGGCAGACCAGTATTAGGTCTAAAACTAATTTGTTATAAGTGGAGTGATCTTTATTATATTTATGTACTTAACATATTTTCAACTTAATAGATGAGAAAATTTATTATTATTATTTTATTTTTTTTTTTAAAAAATAAATTTAATACATAATAATTTATTACAAAAGGTATTTATCACGAAAGAAATAATAACATATTTTCATACCGTATTGAATTTTTTTAAGTTAGATATCTAATATAAAATCGATAGAGGCAGACATCGATTTTTTTTTTCTCATGGACAATCCGTGAAGCATCAAACTGACTTCAAAAACCGTAAAATTTAGGCAATTCCCAGAGTATATTTTTGAAAAATTAAACCAAACATTGTGGGCTGGTGCCAAGCTGAACTGTGAATCTGCAACTGCAATAAAATTTTATCCGAATTAAACCTACTGAAGGTGGTGATAATTGACTTTCTTTCAGTATTTGTTTCTTGTTTTATTTAACACTAGACAATAATTAACATGGAGTAATTTCGAATATACGAAGAAAGGAAGCACGACACATTTTCTGTTCCTTAGTTATTTCTTTTCATCGTTAATTATGAAGGTCGTGTGTAAAGTGTGAGACTGAGAAGAAAGTGATGGCAATTGTCCTTGACTTCCAACTGCAACTTTCAAGAGTGCCCATGGGTTTTGCATGTGCATCTTGGTGGCCGCTGGAATTAATTTGTTTGTTTCAAAGTTGGGTAGAGCTTGATCTGCTAATGTCTTTGTCAACATAATTTCGAAAGATTACACAATTGACAAAAGTAAAACAAATCCAAGTGCGCTCTCTGTTTCATAGATTTAATAAGGTAAGTACTGATACACCTACCTATAAGAGCCCATAGGTAATGCCAATTACCGAGATGGAAGCTCATATGAACTTATCAAAAGAAAAGAGAATTCATACTTAGATTTATCATATTATTGATATTTAAGAGTGAGCTCCGTTTTATGCTATACAACATTGATTTATCACTTTGTCAAATTTTAAAACAAATACGTTGATAGTATATCATATATATATATTTATTAAAATAAAAAGTTTATGTTAAAAGTTTTGTTAATTCGATGAGATGATGAGTACTTGCAATTCACGACTCAACCCTAATTTTTTCTTGTTATAACCAATTCAATCCATTTTGACTTATCTTAATTGTTTCTCTCAATTTCTAAAAAATATAAATTATTTAATACGGAATCGACAGGGTTTATAAATCAACATCCAAGTAAACTCCATATGGAAAATTGATGGATCCACACATTTAAGATCATAGTTAAATAATTATAGAAAAAATATAAGTAATTATAGTGGATATAATCTTGTTAAGAATGGTTTTTTTTTTCAGCTTTTAACTCAATGGTTTTTAACTTGAAAAAAAGTTAAAAAAAAAAATTTTGCTTGACAATAAATGGGCTTGGGGCCCGGATTAGTAAAAGAAGCCTAAACGCCATTGGCAAGATACTAGGGGGTCATGGGCCCAACTTGATTGAATCTGTCAGTAATTTCCTTGATTCTTTTCCCATGTTTGATGCTTGTGTTCTACCCCACAGGTTGGAGCTTCCTTTGTTGAATGGAATATCCGAAGGTGGAAATCGAATGTACGAGGAACTGTATCAAGAACCAGAGGTCAAAAATCCAAGGTATACGTATCTGCAACGTGGCACATCTCCTAACAACTGCCTCGGGTAGACAATTTGGAGTTTGGATATCCCGACCCATGAACCACGATGCCAAAAGCAACAGCCAACAGGAGACAAAGCCAGCAACGTATTGCCAAAGCTCAGTGGAATAAAAAGACAGGAGTGTTGGTCAAGCATTCTTTTGATATTAAGATAAACATTAAAGCAAAAAGAAAAATTGGGAACTTTAGGATTGGTGAACATGGAGATGGAAGAGGTCTCTAGTTTCGCAAATTTGGATTTTGGATCCACTCGGGCTCGATCTGCTTTCCAATGGGGTGGCACCGTTTTTGCTTTGTGAGTCAACCCAGTTCTTGCTTTCTTAATTTAGGTTTTTGTTCCCATATTATTGCATTCATTGTCTTTATTATTTTGTTGGGTTTATTAATGGGGTTGGTAAAGTTAGCTTTTCTTTGGTTCCAAGAATGGTTCAAAGATGTTGAATTTGGTAGTATGATTGAGTAAGATGAGTCATTTCTCTTTAATTGTAGATGAAAAGTCGTTTTGGGTTGCTTTTTACGTTAGAGATGAATGGTTCTGTCGGTGAATTGATGGGGTTGCTGTTATTTTGGCTGTAGAGCCAATGGTGCTTATTCTTTTGAAACTTTGAATAGATCAAAGACATGTAAATTTTATTGATATTCTCCTTGTATAGAAATACTGGCAATCCGATGATGCCTGGTGGGTTGCTAGGCTGGCACAGTATTTGTGTAATTCAGCTACATTTTTCTGTGTTTCAGGTTTAAGACTGTATGTTTGAGGGATGGTTTGTGGTTTAAAATTCTAGCAAGGATAAGATAAAAGGTTAGGTTTTGAGCGCTTTGAGGATGCTGAAATAGTGGGAAAGAGTTTAGCGTCAGAACCTAATGTGCTGGCAAATAGAATAAGCAGGAAATAGATAGAAGGAGATAACAGAGGCAGATCACCAGAAAGATAGAAGAGTCGCCGGCAATCAAACCTTATTTGGAAGCAAATTTTGTTGGGAAAGTTTTATTATTCTCTGTTCTAAATCAGTACAATGTTCTTCTGATGCCTATAAGACTTGGGACCCCAAATAAGTAAAACAACATAGGAGGACTGATAATCTATTTCTATCATGACTGGGAATCATTGACCAACACAAGCATAAAACTGCTGCAAGTATGACATTTATTTTAAGTACATTTGACTCTTGATCCTTGATAAATGCTCAGACAAACTAAACCTGGAGAATTATAACGTAAACAAACATGAAAATAGACTCAGTTTTAACTGGAGAAGTACTAACATTTCCAAAATAATCCCACAAATAGTTGTTAGATCTTGTCTTCCTTCTTGTTGCCCCCATCATTCACTCATGCTCATGCTTGCCCTGGACATTCTTGAATATGATGCCAAGAAGTAAGCCGACATATTTGAGTAGCATCTCATTCAAAATATTCTTTGTCCATGATTTCTGTTTTGGATAAGAAGGCTTCACTTCCATCAGTGGGCCGTTTCTAGGATTCTTTGTGAACATAACACTCACTCTGGTGTTTACACTGTTTTCTTATTCAAACATTTGTACATTAAATGTTTTCCCTACAGATTTTTATTACTCATGAACCGAACAGGACGGAGATCACACATGCAGACTAACCTCCTAGTATTATATCTCTTCACTAGTTTTCCAACCATACTCTTCAAAGTCTTAAGGTGATTTTGGATATTCAATGTTTATTTCGGTTGATTAGCTTCTGTTTTATAGTCTTATATTTTACTAAAATTTCTCCACTAATGATGCAGAGGGCAATTTGGTTGCTGGGTTGCATTTCTTTGTGTTGCTTCAAACCTGTTTTTTCCTCAAACCTTTCCAGGTTAGAAACAAGACTTTTACAAATCAGTTGGTTGTTAATATATTTGGGGTAATAATATGAACACATTTTCCCTCTGGTAAAGATTTCTGTTTGTTGTATGTAACAGTTGCCCGTTTCATCCTATTTGTCATTACACCTGATTGGCTGGCAGATAGATTGCGAGATGACATTGTACCTGGCATCTTGTGTCTCATAATTTTAATTTTACTTATCCTGACAGAAATTTGTGGAATTGGAGGATTGGAGAATTGCCAATGTAATTGTCATTGCTTTGGTTATTGGTTTGGTGTAGCTTTCTTATTCTTCTTTACAATATTGTATCTTGCTAGTTAAAAGTATTGCAGAGTACCATTGGGAGAACCTTTTTTTCTTTGTGACTTCATCTTAAAGCTTGCTTATAGCTCCAAATGAGGAAGAATTTTTCCAATTAATTGTTTTGGGAGTTTCAGCTACCTAATTCTTCTATAAATAGCCTTGCTAAAAGGGAAAAAACATGTTTCCTAAAGAAGAAATGGGGGGATTCTTGAAGCAGGGCAACAAGTTTTACTCATGTATCACCAAAAACAAGCCGTTATACGCCTAACACTTGCAAGAACTTCATTGTTAGCATTATCAAAATGTCTGCTTGGTTGAGATTTCCCTCATTAGATTAGATTTGTTTAGCAACATAAGAGGCAGGAGAGGCTTGGGTCATTGGCTGAGTCAAAGCTCAATTATTTACTGTACTGTAACTGAAGCGATGAGCCGAAAGAACCTTTTGATGATTTTGGAACCCTAATGTCGGCTAACCTCCTCGCTCCATTTTGCCTTTCAATAGACTTATAGCGCATCCGCTGCGTCATGGTTTGAGTAGTAGAACTTTATGGCTGCTTTGACTGTCTCATATGACCAACCATTAGCTGCCGCCAGTAAAGATAAGAAAAGTCTCTTCTTTTGTTTTTTTGTAACTGAGGGAAGGGGAAGAAAAATAGTGGGGTTTGGTCAACGCGGAAATGCATAGCTTGTCACCAGCATTTAATATCTGAAATGCAAATTTCGTATCACAAGAAAAGTCAACTTTGTGATTGCGTATCATGCTCTTCCCAGACGTTACGTGTCTGAAGACTGGGTTCATTTCAAGCTTGGAAAAGGTATGTAACCTGAAGAATATGCGTTCTATTTCCTGGATGTTTCAGTCAACCAACCAATCCTCCCTCTTCCACCCTGTTTAATGCCCGTTTACAAATTGAACCTGCAGGATTCTTAGACTATCATTCAGCTCCGCCGGTTTTGCCCGAACAAATGTATTCACCCATCAAGGAACATTTTGGCACATCCTACATTGGCAATGGGTTTTTTCTCTCTCATTTCTCTCTTTGCCCTTCCTTATTTTGTTGTAGCTGCTTGATACAAGCTCAGCAGCCTTATGTTGGACGCAAAACAACAGACTGCACAAATCCTGATACTTCAGATTCTGTTCTTGGATACACCTGTAATGGCTTAAACAGGAGTTGCCAAAGTTACCTGATTTTCAGATCCCAACCCTCATTCAATACCGTTGCGTCAATATCCAATCTCTTGTCTTCTGACCCATCTCAAATTGCTGAGATAAATGAGGTTTCTGAGAGCGCGTCATTTGAAACAAACCAGATGGTGATAGTTCCTGTCAACTGCTCATGTTCTGGTGACTACTATCAGGTAAACACAACTTATTCTGTTCAGAGTGGGGACGGCTACCTTTTATTTGCAAATAACACCTTCCAAGCCCTCTCAACCTGTCAAGCTATACAGAACCAGCAGCCTGATATTCCTTCGCAAAATTTGACCATTGGATTGAGAATAACGGTTCCTCTTAGATGTGCTTGTCCCACAAAGAATCAAACTGATGCAGGAATTAACTATCTGTTAAGCTACCTAGTTGCTCAAGGTGATACTGTTTCAGGTATTAGTAGTTGTTTGGGGCAGATACCGCGAGGACTCTTGAAGCTAATGAGCTTTCCGATCCCACCATTAATTTCTTCACTACACTTTTGGTTCCCCTTCAGGACCACCGTCTAAAACACAGTGCCCTCTCCACCCGCCCCCCCGCCTTCATCGCCACTCCACCTCCTCCTCCCAGTGGAAGCTCAAACAAAACATGGATTTATATTCTTGTTGGTGTTGTTGGGGGAGGTGCTCTTATATTGGTTGTTGGCGCAGTGATTTTTTGTGTGTTCTTCCGTAAAAGCAAGAAGAAACCTGATTTGATCATCACCTCAGAAAGTTTTGAAGCTCATGGAAAACCATTGAAGAAAAAGTTGGATGATGAGTCCCAGGACTTCTTGGATGGTATGTCAAATATAGCTCAATCTCTCAATCTCAAGCTGTACAAATTTGAAGAATTGCAGGTTGCAACAGATAACTTTAGCCCCAGCTGTCAGATTAAAGGATCAGTTTACCGCGGTGTAATTAAAGTGATTTTGCTGCTATTAAGAAAGTACATGGAGACGTGTCAAGGAGGTAGAATATTTGAACAAGGTCAACCACTCAAATCTTATTCGCCTTTCTGGAGTTTGTTTCCAAGATGGCCACTGGTATCTGGTTTATGAGTATGCTGTCAATGGAGCATTGAGCGATTGGATCTTTCACAACGACAACAGCGGAAATTACTTAAGCTGGAAGCAGAGAATTCAGATTGCATTAGATGTAGCAACAGGACTAAACTACCTCCATAGCTTCACCAATCCTCCTCATGTCCACAAGGACTTAAAAAGTAGTAATGTTCTTCTTGATGGTGATTTCAGGGCTAAGATTGCAAACTTTGCTCTTGCAAGGGCAACGGAAGGGCGTGATGGCCAATTTGCCTTGACAAGGCACATTGTTGGGACAAAGGGTTACATGGCTCCTGAGTATTTGGAAAATGGCTTAGTCTCCACAAAGCTTGATGTTTACGCATTCGGGGTTCTTTTGCTGGAAATAATAACTGGGAAGGAGGCTGCTGCATTCTATGGTGAGGAATACATGAACTTATCAGACATCTTAAGCAATGTGATTCACGAGAAAGATGGACAGGAGAGTTTGAAGCATTTCATTGACCCCTTCATGCTAGAGAATTATCCTTCAGAACTTGCCATACTTGTTGTCAAGTTGATAAATACTTGCTTAAAGAAAGATGCAACTGCTCGCCCAGCTATGCATGAAATTGTGCAGTCCCTGTCAAGAATTCTGACCACCTCATCGAGGGATTCATCAAGCAACATGTCGTGGTCTGAAGCATCTAGTGGGAACTACTGATGGCACCGTGGCTGAAATGGAATCTTGAGTTAGTTTTAGTTAGCTTTTGGCTTCTATTTTATTTATTTATCAAGTTTTTGCAAGTTTTATGGCCATTTCCGCCAAACCTTGTCTCCCTCATTTTCTAGCTGGCTGCACCATGAGTTGAGTTAATTCACATCTGCAATGGCTGCACTTGCATTTCTTCTTTTTTGCTATTCATTTGCCAGATATATTTGAACAGTTTGCCATGATAATTAGTTGTTCCCTACGTTGCTTTTAAAAGATACTAAGCAAGTTAAAAGTATACAAATGAAGCATCTGATTGGATATATAACCATGGCGGTCACCATCTGCAATATCTTAAAAACCAATTTAAGTGAGAATTTCTCAGGATCCCAGTATTTGGATTTTGCCTAGAACTCCAATGAACAACCTGACAAATGCATCAACAGAAAATTTGTCTTTATTAAATATTGAAAAAAGATGATTAGCAGGCTGGAATGTACTCACCTAATGCATAGGTATGGTTCACAATAAGAACAAGAAAAATGATGTTTTGCGAAAAGTCTCTTAGCTTGATGAGAACCAGTCATTTGTGGAAGGCATGGAATTCTTGTTCAAACCAACCAATCCCCATTTTTACTCAAAATCTATATCAGTAAAATAGCTATGCTGACCCAATAGGTTGAATACTGAATCATATGAACTCGGGTTTTCCATCCCATGTGAAACTGTAATTAAATTCTCATAATATAGTAACTAGATACTATTATCCTCCATTTTTTTAATCTTATTTTTTATTTCTATCATTTTCATGACTCCTGTAGTAATTGTACAAGGTTACTTCAGTTTGTTAACCCAACTGCTTGCTTTCATAGAAGGAAAACTTCAACGCTGTTTAATGATTCCTCTTCTTTATTTTTAAGTCATTTTCAATTATTCAGAGTTGGTTTAATCTTTATACTTGATGTTACCTATATACCAACCCGAAAATCTTAAATAATTGAAGTGCCTGAGGAGTTGATCTTCCTGGTAAAGTCCAGTATTTAGCATATATAAGGCAACAGATTTTTTTTTTGTTGCTTTTTCCATCTTTGCAAACATATGATGTTTGATACGGTCCCTTGAAACGGATCAATGGGACGTGTGTGTGAAGGTTTGGTTTAGTTTGAGGTACTTAGTACTTGGGTGAATGGTTTCTTTCAACCTATGTTTGTGGTGGCTGGCTCATTAGAGAGAACTTGCAGATCTCTTGAGTTTGAATTACTAAAAACTTGAATAGATGCTGAATACCCTCCTCTTATTAACTTCAGTCCTTTAAACTACAGCTTGGTGGAATAACCACCCTTAAAGTAAGAAAGTGGAAACGTGGAGACACACACAACCTCCAATAACATGAAAACAGAAAACTACCACTAACAATAAAATAGGGTGGTAACCTCCAACAACTGAAATGGAAAACTACCACTAACAATAAAATAAGAACCACAATGAAACTGTTAACAATAAACTGCCAGCAACCAATCGGATATGTTGATTTAGTTTATACTTCCCATGTGTGAATAGCTTGTAAACTAAAGGATTATCAGATGTGCTAACAATGTTTCTCAGACATATCTATACACCGTCTCACCTTCCTGTCATGGATCAGTTTCTGCTCAGTTTCTTCATATTTTTCAGTATTTTCATGCCAAAGCTCCATGCTCAACAAAGTTATTCAGGAAACTCAGTGATGGACTGTGATGCTAGCGATGAAACAGGGCCATCCTCAGCTTTTCTTTACACTTGCAATGGTCAAAAGCTATCCTGCCAGGCCTTTCTCATCTTCAAATCTCAACCTCCTTATAATTCAGTCTCGACCATCTCAAATCTTACGTCTGCAGATCCTTTGGAGCTCGCTCATATCAACAAAATTTCACTTTCTACAATCTTGCCTCCAAACAAAGAGGTGATTGTTCCAGTGAATTGTTCATGTTCAGGTCAGTACTATCAGGCCAACACCTCTTACATCATTCCAAGTGTGCAAGACACGTATTTTTCGATTGCCAACAATACCTATCAAGGGTTGTCCACCTGCAATTCTCTTTTGCAGGAGAATGTCTATGGTGGTTCAACCTTGCAAGCAGGTTTAGTTTTGAAAGTACCACTTAGATGTGCTTGTCCTACAAGCAATCAAACTTCAAATGGTACTAAATTTCTATTGACTTATGTGGTTGATTGGGGGGATACTGTTTATGATATTAGTAAGAGATTCAATTCTAGTACAATAGGTGTAGCTGGTGCAAATGGAATTGATTTAGATGATGCAGTTATTTTTCCCTTTACAACAGTTCTTGTTCCGCTGTCAACCGAACCCTCAAGCTCGCAAACTATAATTCACTTTCCGCAACCACCCTATTCTTCTCCCTTCACTCCAATAAATTTGAAGAAAACTTCAAGGAAAGGACCTGTTGTTTGGATTGGAATCGGAATTTCTTTGCTAGTCCTCTGCCTTCTGTTGGTGGTCTTACTACATCATAGGAAGAAAACAAGGGAGGCTGCCAGAAAACTTCAACTGGGGAGAAAGAAATAGGAGTTACCCAAGGATTTCCTAGTTAGCATAGATCAAAGTTTGAAAGTTTATGACTTTGAAGAACTAGAGGTGGCCACTGAAGATTTCAGCCACAAATACAAGATGGGTGGTACTGTTTATAGAGGTGTTCTCAATGGAGAATCACTGGCTATAAAAAAAATGAGCAAAGATGTAGATAGGGAGGTAAGTTTGCTGAAACGGATTAATCATTTCAATCTAATAAGCCTTCGTGGGGCTTGTGAGCACTCTGGTGTTTTCTACCTTGTTTATGAGTTCATGGAGAATGGTTCTTTAAAGGAGTGGCTTCAAAAGAAGAATTGTCAAAGATTTCATATTTGGAATTACAGAATTCAGATTGCTTTAGATGTTGCTAATGGGCTTCACTATCTTCACAACTTCACTTCTCCAGCATATGTGCATAAGGATATTTGCAGTGCCAACGTGCTACTCGATGGAGATTTGAGGGCTAAGATTGCGAACTTCAGTCTTGCACGATCAGCAGAAAGAGAAGAAAGCAGAAAGTCATCAATGTGGAGTTCTCTGGGAACAAAGGGTTACACGGCTCCTGAATATATGGAGTATGGCTTGTTGACACCTGAAATGGATATATATTCCTTTGGGGTTCTCCTGCTGGAACTGATCACAGGAAAGGAAGCTGTTTTTAAGCAGGATGGAAAGGAGGTACTATTATCAGAAACAATATTAACAATTATGAAAGGAGAAAATGCAGATGCTGAACTTGATGTTTTATTAGATCCTAGCCTGAAAGGACACCTCTGGAAGAAACTTGCACGCCGAATGATGAAACTGAGCATCGACTGCCTGGCAGAAGAACCAGAAAGCAGACTGAGCATGGCTGAAGTTGTTTCATATCTGTTGAGGATTCAACTGGATGCACAGCGATCACAATCCTTTTCTTCAGAGTGGCGTTAAAAGCAGAAACTATATCTGTAAATAGCATTCTTCATTCCAGTTTCAATAATACACTTAATTCTTCTGTAAATTGTGTACATAGATTATATGGACCTGTTTGAGGTTTAACAATTGCACTATTGCTTTTGTTCTTCACATAAAACACAAGCCACACATCTTCAAAACTGAAAACCAGGCAAAATCTGTACATTAGATCATTCCTTATTGGATATTACATGAACCTAGGGATTCACTGCAACTGTCAACGAGCTATGACTGGATTGATGATTTGAGCAAGTTCTGTTTCTATCCCTGAAGCCCAAGAGCCTTCTGATTTCTCAAAAGATGACTGAATAAGAACAGAAAGGCTAAAGACGATTTCTGCCATGCTTGGCCTAGCCAGAGGATTCTCTTGTGTGCAGGCCATGGCCAATGTTGCCAAGCTTATGGCACCATCAATGGGATAAAAGCTCTCCAAGTTTGGATCCATCCATGTCCTTAGCCTCTTCTCCTTCTTCTCGTCAATTTCTAAGACTTCCCTTAGATTCTTCCACAACATGAAAATCTCACCATTTTCTTTTGTTGCCATGGCTTTCTTTCCTGAGAGCAACTCTAACAGTACAACCCCAAACGCAAAAACATCCACTTTTGGCATTACAGTATTTGTAGTGGTTCTAGCCATGGAGAAATTAGCAATCTTGGCCCTAAACGTGGAGTCTAGAAGTATATTACTTGTTCTGATATCCCTGTGGACGATGTTTGGTTGAGTGTGTTCATGCATGTATTGCAGACCATTGGCCACATCAAGTGCTACATGCAACCTCTGGCTCCAGGTGAGAAAGGCTACATGGCTTGAGGAAGATGAAGATTTCGCATGCAACCACTTATCCAGTGATCCATTTTCAGCATATTCATAAACCAAGAAGCAATTGCCATCTGAATCAGCTGAGACACCCATTAACTTCACCAGATTTGCATGATTTACTTTCTGTAAAATCTTTAGTTCCTCTGTAACATCATCCTTTGTTTTCTTTATGGCTAACAGTTTCCCATCAATAATGGCCCTGTACACGGATCCTCCAATCCTGCAGTGCTCATTGAGGTTCATGGTCGCTACCATAATCACGTCAGCCTCATACATGATGGGCTTGCCTAAGTAGCCAGAAACTCCAGGCAGTAGCTTGTTTTGTATGATCTGTGGCTGGAAACTTTCACTTTTTGTAAGTGCCTTCGCTGTATTCAAACCAACCGTTTCCAAAGAGGAACCATTGCGCTTAAACATCTTCTTTCTCTCATACGTTAACCAAGCTGCTAAAAGGAAAATAAACAAAAAGACTACTGTGCTTATAACAACAATCAGGATCCTCTGATGTTTGGATTTGTTTCCTCTCAAAGGAGAGAGGTGAGTTTGAGAGAGAACCGGCAATTTCAACACAGGGATCATCAATGGAGGAATTACTGCCAAGCTAATATTCTGGTAACTATTTAACTTATTTTCATCAACAATATCTAGTGGTGATGCATTGAACTTAGCACTTACACTCCAAACACTATCATTGGGTTGCCATGCATAGCTAATAAAAAATTCAGTACTTCCATTCTCCAATTGGTCTTTGGAAGGGCACTTGCAGAACAAAGGAAATACCACTTTGTCACCAACCTGCAATTTTCTTGGATGTCGATCAGGGTTCATGTCTTCCACTTCAGTATAATTGGAGAGATTCTCAAAAATAGTGGCTGAAACTATGTAGAAGGTGTCACCAGGCTTGATTTTGTAAGTGATATTGGCAAAGTAATGCTTCCGGGTGCAACCACAGGTTATAGGTACCAACAATAGTTGGCCTGGGAACAACTGGGTATCCACAGAAGCCAAGTTACTAGCTCTTGCTATCTCTTGGGGGCTGGTTCCAAACAGATCAGATATGTTTTGCAGGTCCAAAAAGTCTGGTTCCTGGGCAAAATACGCAGCATATGTTGAGCATGAGGTGGATGACTTCGAGCAGGAAAAGTTTGCGCCATTGGTAGGTGGTGACTGAGCACTGATATAGGAAGCAAAAAGGTAGTTAAGTATGAAAAATAGAACTTGCATGGACTTGAGAGAGAGCAGAGAAATTGCCATTGATAACAAGCTGTGAGTCCAGCTTATTAGTGTATTAGGCCCTGAAGCAGTATATTTCATAAGTGCTAAGATGAAAAAAGTCTTACGTTGTCTCACTTAAGGTTGATGGAAAAGCTAAAAATCATTGCTATTTTGCTAACATGTAGCTTTCTATATGAATAAAATAAGTTTTTCGACTAAAAATTCAAGTGGCCCTTGTCTCTAGCTTTGATCTTAAATGATAACTTGGTTTTCTTCTTCTCCCTAACACAGAAGAAAATCAAAGATGACAAAACTTCTATT